GTTGACAAGTCAACAGCAAGAGGAGAATCCCTTTGAAATGCCTGAGACAAGGAAACTGAATATGAGAATTATTGTTTTCATTCACATGACTACATTTTAAGCACAATGCCACCTTTCCTGTCTGAGGTATCCATGAGGAAACTAAGGAATGCAGTGTGACTTAAGATCAAAATCAACAATGGTACTTACAAATCCCCATCCGCTTTCTTTAAACTCCTGCCCCACTGTCCTGAATTTACATTTGGTGCTGGACATAAACAGCTCAATGTAAGGAAGCTCATCAACAATGGCAGCTACCCCACCACGTTTCGGTCCATACTGAAGGGCTTCTAAGTAGTTTTCCATGGTTTTTAACTTGATGAGTCTAGATTCCGCAATGTTGAGCTCATCAACCAAATACTTCCATGTAAATGACCCATCTTGAACTCCAATTGGATCGTTACTTGCTATCAAGCTGTCAATCCCTTCGATTTGTGATGTCAACTGCTGCACCGTGAGGATTGATGTCAAACTAGCTGTGTAGCTCGAATTGATAATTAAGACCACAAACAACCATATAATCAGCACCAGCCGTCCCAGGGTGCTCACAGTGTTCTCTCCTGCGCCAAGTCCAAGTAGCAAAGGATGTTAGGAGTTAATAATGCGAAATACATTCATGATACCAAAGGGAGATTAAGCATGAAAAACATACTGTGTGAGAAAAACAGTGTTGAGAAACTAAACCTGCAAAGCAAAAGCAAAAGCAGTTTCAGTAAAAGTACTCTTCCATTTATGAAACAATGCCAGTAAGTGAATTCCTAGGCAACAGATTAGAGGCCTTAACGATGTAACGTACGTACCAAAAAATAGTCATGAGTTGCTTCCTCGGTGGACCACGGAATTCTTGATTCATCCGGTGCTCAAGAATCCAAACAACAGCTCCCACAAACAGGAAGAAGGCACCAGTGACTAACCACATCTGATAAGTAAATGGCTTCAGGAAAGCCCAAGGGCTTGTTTTTTGCTCTTTGACGGGAACAACTACAACAAGCCCCGATTCCATGTAAGGCTGTGTAAAATCAACTATTCTTGTACTATTAGTAGTAATCGTAACATCCCCAACAGCTGCATCAAAGTTCTGCAAAAGAAAAAAGGAAAGGACCCAATAAAAAAATTGGCCATAATTTAAACACCAAAACAGCAATACATAATTTAAACATCATATTGTTTGATAATGTACTTCAGACAGCCCCTTAAGAGGAAATGAATAACAACTGTGATACACATGCACAAGTTCAAAATCATTTAGCATCTAAATTTAATCCAAATCAGACAAACCATAATTAAAGAGATAAAACTTACACTTTGCGCAACCTCAAATACAAGATTGCTGTACTCAGGATTCCTCTTTCCATTTCCATACAACACGTAATTGCGTGGCACGGCATAAGGCAACAAGTTTACAGCAGCTTCAAAGACATCAATACAGTATCCTCTAACCCCTGGAGGGCTCTTGTCCTTAGCCACAAAATCTTGGAAACTTACTCGGTATGGCACGCCAATTCTGAGAGGATTCCCATTGTTGGGAAATACCCATCCCCGAGGTATAGCTGTAGTTTCACCAGGCCATATAACGCTATAAAGTTGAGCGGTGGTATTAGTACTGAATGGCTTTTTATATAAGATCTCTGGAGCAATTACTGAGAGACCAGTAGAATTTGACCAATAACCAATCCTACGGGACCCAGTTCCGCCAATATTCAGAATTTCATATGCTGGATGAACTAAATATTTATCCTGATCAAACTGAATCTGACCACTTACACCTGTGAAGTTCATCTTAAGAATTGTCTGTAGATATTGTTGGCCTCCATCAAATATACGGAGTGATGTTAAGTGCAATGAGCTTCTATTTGTGTCTTTCAACTTTGGGTCATCAGAGAAAGATATCTTCCCACCTTCGTTGAAAAAAACTTCAAGAGCACGAGCTGCTAACCAAATAGAGTCATATGCATAGAGCGCGTAAGAATTGAAGCCCGAACTCCCTTCGTGTTTTAGTTTATTCCATCTCGACATAAAACTCTTTTTGAGATCTGTATCTGGGGTATGATGACGAAGAGCAACAACCCCTTGTACAAGATTCATTGTATCAAGCCCAGGTGATTCTAATGAATCTAGATGAGAAGGAAGCCAATCTGTTGCAATCCAAACATAGCCAGCGGTCATCATTCCAAGAGACTTGGCAACAGAAAAAATTGTCAAACCAGAATCAGGATTGACATGCACAACATAAACCCGAGATTCCATGCGGTTTAATCCCACCAACAACTCATTGATTGTGTTGTTGGAGGCTCCAGGAGAGAAGGCAGCCTTGTGTGAGATCTTGGAACGCTTCTTCGCTAAGGCATCACCCAGTATAGAAATCCCATTTCTGCCGCAATCATCATCCACAAAGATTGCAATTACTTCTCTCCATCCAAAATACTCAACTACATCAGCAACTGCAAACATTTGGAAATGGTCACTCTGTGTGGTGCGAACAAAATACGGGTACTGCAGAGCAGCAAGGGAGGGGTCTGTTGCAGCAAATGACAGAAGCGGTACATGGAGCTCATTCACAACATGGGATATGACATGAGCTATTCCAGAGGATTGCGGGCCAATTGCAGCAACCACATCATTTTCAATCAGCTGGAACGCTGCATGGAGAAAGACATCAGTGTTACTTTTTAGTTTTAAGAGAGAAAGCAAGGCAAGGATTACAAGTATATTTGCAATCCTGGTTTTTTATTTTCTCATCCAAGACTTTAATCCACCATTATGAAGGTGCAGATTATCACTCAAAGGTGTTGAATATTATTGGCAAGAGGTTAGATGGCCAGTTATGCATTATTCAGGCCTGGGGTCAACTTAAAGAAAGTCCTATTTGATATATAGCTCTTTAAGAAAGAAAATTTAGATATCTTTAGCTTCATGTCGATGCAAGGACATATTGATGTCCATAAAATTCGAGCAATAAAATCAATGGTGTGGATGAACAGAACATCAAGAAACTTTTACAAACTATGGCACTCAAACAGGAAGAATCATACAAAACAAGTCATTTACCGATCATAATACATATACATGGAGGACACCTTTAGAAATCACATCACTTATCCTCAAACAAGGATCAGAATGGCTTATTTTGGACTTGCATTTTCAAGACTGCAATCGTTTAGCATTCTTACTTAGCAATAATTTTACGGTGCTATAGTTTTAAGCAGGAAAAACATCAAAATGGAACTAAACAACAAAATGTGCAAACAAGAAGTAGAGTAGACAGAGACTCAAGATATCCTATCAACATTATAATCAGCAGCAACAAAATTGGAATTATGCAAGTCAAAGTTTTGATTTTTTAAAAGGCATACAATGGCAGAATTCTGAACTCTCAAAAGGGCAACAGAACAGAAAATCAAATTCAACATTAAAGGCCACTAATTTGATAAAAATGAAGTACATCCCAAATTGAGAATAAATATATTCTCTAAAGCCTGTTTTCTTATCAAGAATTAATAGCAGTTTGGTTTTTCTACTCCCAAAATTAAAGGAAATTTGCAATTTAGTACACGCAGAAAGAAACGGTTTCTAATTCCATGTGTACTCTAGAAGGGAGTTTCAGGAAACACCTTCAACAGTTCCAAGAAATCCACTGCATTTTGTATCATGGAGAATAACGTTCAATTTTGTCCCGGGAAGAATGCTCGGATCAGAATTAACATCATCAATTGCTGCATAAATTGCTGGTTTGGCGGCCCTTCCAATAACTGAATTCAATGTAAACAGAGCTCCAATATTCAGAGAACTTGGCCTTGTAGACAAATGGGTGGCATTTTCAGTCCTAGCCATCACTTCCATGGGCACCCACATGAGCAAGATCAAAGCAAGTAGTGCCCTTGTCTTGCATACATGGGTACGCCTATTAATCAACAAGACTTCCATGTCTACAGAGGTCTACAATTGCCTGTAAAGAAAGAACTTGTTGATTCTTCAGCTTGAACTAAGTTCCACCTGCATTGAACAAAATGGCAAAGACCTGTCAAGAATGGCAGATTGAAGATGACCACCAAAAGTGAGTTATCACATATTGAAGACTGCAAAAAACAAATACAAATAGATAAACAAATAAATAAAGTTTATAGTCAGACCAACATGGGTCCCAAAATTCTCAGAAAATACTTCAGATTCAAAGATTTACCTTGAACACTGAGATTCTGCAGTAAATACCCAATTAAAATCTCCACACAGTGTTTAATATTGGCTTGGTCGCCTTGGATTCCAGAATATTGATACTCACTCGAGAACCATAAGAAGAAGTTTCAACATGGGTTTTACTTGACAGAGTGTTTAATATTGGCTTGGCCACCTTGGATTCCAGAATTTGATACTCGCTTGGGAACCATAAGAAGAAGTTTCAACATGGGTTTTACTTGAAAAATCCTAATTTGTACGGCTATCAGTGTACCAACTCCTATGATTACCAAATCAAGCCAGGAATCTCAATTTCCAACCAATAAAATATTTAACCATATGAACAAGTTGGTGAGGCAAGCACATGCAAGAGATTGAGAAAAGTGAAAAAGAAACATGCAAAAAACGAAATAAATATTAAATGATAAAGAGTTCCACAAGAAGCTCAGGCTTTGAGTGGAAATTTACCTGAAGGGCCGAACTTGGATAAAAGCTTTCAACAGTTTAAAGGCCGAACAACAATGAGCCCAAAAAGAGAACCCCAAAGCTCAAAACAGTCTTCCAAGCACCAAGTAAAGAATCAATTCTTCTTTCTTCCAACTTCTTCTTTTTATGGCTCAAAAAACAGTCACTACTGGGCTACTTGCATTCTTTACATTATTATTTATTATTATACTAATATTTTGTGTATCATATAATCTACAAACTTACAAATATAGTGGCTCTGATCAATACACGTCAAACCAAAAGATTGGAATCCAAGCCAAGCCAGTGGCAAATAAACAACAAACAAAAGAAAAAAACTGATTTTCAATAAGGAAAATGCTAGGCTTACCACATTTTTCATACCACATTTGTACCACCTCTCTAATAGAGGTGGGCCCCATTGTATTGGTGGGCTCCACCTCTATTAGAGATGTGGTACAAATGTGGTATGAAAAATGTGGTAAATCTAGCATTACCCTTTCAATAAACAACAAACATAAGAAAAGAACTGATCAATACACGTCAAAGCTATTTTGCCTGCCTCAACCAGCAGGCAAAATAGCTTTCCAACTGAACTGATTTTCAATAAACAACAAACAAAAGAAAAGAAAAGAAAAAAAAAGATGTTATATTGTATAAAATGTACACGTGTGACACATGTGCATTATTTTCTTGTGTTCGTGTGAAAATTGGATATTAAAGAAATATTTGACCATAAATTTAATATTTGGATTCGTGGTATTTCTTTCTCTTGAGATTAGAGCACGTATGCCTCCTCAATTTCAAAACCAACTATTATTTTTCCACAAATAAATATCTTTCTTATCTCATTTTTTCTCAATATTGGGATAGCATCATGGATTTAAGACCCCATCATACCATGGAGTATGACATTTCTGAGAACAAATTACTCTAAATGTGATTTAACATTGAAGCTCGTATGAAATGGGGATATCACAGGCCAACATTGGTTTGTTATTTTCAATCAATTACAGATTGTCAAGTGGAAAAGTTATCATATGTGGCATATGCCGTGATTAGCCGAGAATAACAAAATAGTGTTATTTCCATTTCACGTAACTGTTTATCCATTTCAAGACAAGTTCAATGCTTTTTCTCTACTAACTCCTGATGTTAATTAGGAGAACCCATTTTGTTATTGAGGTTTTTATTTTTATTTTTCAAAGAGATGATAAAAAGGGAAGAGAATAATGGAACTTTTATTCTAAGTCATAGTCTAAAAACCTCCTCCAACAATTTTTAATTGTTACCATTCACATTTACGGCCACACTCCTAATAATTCACAACAAAAGTAATCGCCAGGAACAAGAGGAAGAGCAAGACATCAATGAGCTTGACAAGAACACTGTGGGAGCAAATTTCGTCCCACGAGAATATTCGATTGGAAAGATTCCCCTTTCTTCTTTGCCGTCTCTTTCTCCCTACAAAATAGAACAAATAAGAGGATCACACCTGGGGGGTGTTGGCCAAAGGCCCTCTGATGCCTAAGTTAGGTTGGGTGTTTCAAGGAAAATTGGGTTGCCGGAGCCGTGTGTGGTGGCCGGAGCCCCGTGTGAGAGAGAGAAAGAATAGGAAGGGAGAAGGGTTTATGAGAAATAATTTATGCAGAGTTTTAGTAGGAATTCAGACGTACCTCAATCCTTGTGCGTAGCCAAGTATTTATAGGGGGCCTCGACGAGGTTGGTGAGGTTGGTGAGGTTGGTGAGGTTGGTGTATTTAGGGATTTGATTTATTAGGGATTTAAATCAAATCCCTAATTGTGGTAGGTATCCAATCAATTCCCAATCTGATTAGGTAACTCCTCATTTAATTGGGAAATGTGGTAGGAATCAAATCAGTTTTCAACTTAATTAGGTCATTCTCAATTTAATTGGATATCCCCCAATTAAATTGAGTAACCCCCAATTAGGTTGAGTAATTCCCAATTAGGTCAAATAATCCCCAAATGGAAGGAATTATCTGACCTAGGGTTTTGATTTAATTCAGTTCCCACAAACACCCATTTTTTTGTTGGTGAAGTTTGGAGGTTTGGCCTAGCTATGTTTGCGAGGAATGGAAAATAGCTAGCCAGGGAGAAATGAGAATGGTAGCAAAATGAGGATCTTGGGACGTTGAATATCAACATGGGGTGAAATTTATATAGAAAATTAGTTAAATACCCATTTCTAGACATAAAACTATAAAAATACCCTATACTATTTAATGTATATAAACACACCCAAAATAAACCCAAAAATCAACAACTGTATATTTTTTAATTTAATTATGAAGATGAAATACCTTTATTACCCTTTTAACATAAAATTGGAATTCCTAATAAACACCAGATCAAAACCCACGTCCTCCAGTCTCTCATCTTCATCTTCAACCCCAATTTTTAGTTTTTGTTCTTCCACCTCAGTTTTGACGATGAAATCCTAAGCTCTGTTCTCAAGTAACTCTCTCTCTCTCTCTCTCTCTCTCTCTCTCTCTCTCTCTCTCTCTCCAACCTTGCCGATCAAATTCATGAATTTTCCCCTTCTCGAGAGCAAGAGAGAGAGAGAGAGGTGACGAGAAAGCAAGAGATCGACAGTTGGAGAGAGATTGAGCAACGCAAATGGCGACAGTTCAAATGCAGAGAGTTGCAGTATCGCCACAGGAGAAGCCAATATTGACGCAGCGAAGAAGAACATAATTCAGGTTTCCAATACCAAGAAATCACTCTTCTTTTATGTCAATCTGGCAAAGGTATGTTTCTGTAGTAAAATAATTTATTTTTTTATTTATTTGACAAATGAAGGAAAGAAAAGGAAAAGGAAAAGGAAAATTAAATTTAGTATGTTGTGAGTATGCTGGATCTGTGAAAAATTTGGAGGATTTGCAACATGAGCAAATGGACAATGACTTGGTGGATTCATGGGATGAAATGGCTCAGTATAAAATCCTATTCGATTTGCGATCTTCAATTTTGAGGTATTTGATTTTTTTAATGTGAATTCATATTCGATTTTATTGTAGTCTGATTTGGGTGATTTCATGTTCGATTAATTAAGTTGCTGGTTAAGTTTTCATACTTTTTGCAGTTTTGGAGTTTAAATTTGAAATCTAGATCCAATTCTTCTTTATTTTATATGTTTATTTTTGTTATTGCCGATTTGGAGATAAGCTATTGGATTTTCTGATTTCGTTCTAATTTGTATTTAGATATTCGTTTGAGTTTTAAATTGTGATTTTAATTTCTTTTTGTTTATAATTTGGATTGATTTCAGATTCGGTTTGGTTGTGGATTTGCTTTTGTGTTTTGGTTTGAGCTGTGGTTACAAAAATGTGATATTTGATTCAGTTATCTTATTAATTGAGGTATGTTTTTTCAATTGAATCTGAGTATATTCGTGTTTTTTCTTTTTATGCATTATTGGTTTTTGAGTCGACTATAATTTGCTGTTAGGTAGCAGTGTTATTACCTTATATTGGAACTTTACAGACATGCATTAGAAATAGGATTTTATATGAAACTAGCAGTGTTATTACCTTATACTAGAACTTTACAAGGGTTAGACATGCATTAGAAATAGGATTTCAAAGGAATCTAGCAGTGTTATTACCCTATACTGGAACTTTACAATGGGTAGAAATGTATTAGAACTAGGATTTCAGAAGAATCTAGTAGTGTTATTACCCTATACTGGAACTTTACAATGGTAGACATGCATTATAAATAGGATTTCATAGGAAACAAGTAGTGTTATTACCCTGTACTGGAACTTTATAGTGATAGACATGCATTCAAAATAGGATTTCATTGGAAACATGCAGTGTTATTACCCTATACTGGAACTTTACGGTGGTAGACATGCATTCAAAATAGGATTTCAGAGGAAACAAGCAGTGTTATTACCCCATACTGGAACTTTACAGTCATTAATCAACATGAAAGTAAATTAGCAGTGTTAAGAATGAGTATATGACTAAATATCTCTTTCTTTTTTGAGTTGCTGGAAATCGACTATTTTATAGTCCTTTGCAATCAGTTCAATAATGAAAATCCAATATAGTTTCAAGATTTTGTCCTAGATTCGAATCTAAAATAATGTTATTACCCTATACTAGAACTTTACAGCAATTAATCAACATTACAGTAAAGGTTTGGTTTTTAAATGTCTTACTTTTGAAGCCTTTTCTTGTTGAAATTGTTCTCTGAAATTGTGTCTTTGTTTTGTAGGTGGAGGTTAGTGTGTGGTGTTGGTTTTTGAAAGTAGATCAAGCTTCGTGCTCGGTTTGCATAAATGATGAAATGAACAGACGTTTTGCAAAGATTGTTTAATGAAGATGCATGCTTGTAGTTACGGTTTTCAAGACACTTTTGTGTTGTAATAAAATATTTGGGCTTTTTTATAAAATTGAGTTGGGCTTGTTTTGGGTGTTTTTTGAGTTTTTTTTTTTCTGTTGGGCATCAGTGGTAGTCTTGTAATTTATAGTAACTTTAACACTAATTTCTTATATAGTAAATAGATTTTGGGTGTGTTTCTAAAGTGCATTCTATGTGGGGTTTTTTTTTATAGTTTCAGCCTCTATTTTGGGTATATTAGTGAAGCTCCCAAATTTATATGGGGATGTTTTGACTCACTCACACGCCCAGACATCAACTCTTA